GTACCTGGAGCACTGCTAGTTATGCAGCTGGAGCATTGCTAGTTATGCAGTTGGAACACTGCTAGTTATGTACCTGGAGCACTGCTAGTTATGTAGCTAGAGCACTGCTAGTTATGTAGCTAGAGCACTGCTAGTTATGCAGCTGGAGCACTGCTAGTTATATACGTGGAGCACTGCTAGTTATGTACCTGGAGCACTGCTAGTTATGCAGCTAGAGCACTGCTAGTCTGCCATACATTTCTATACAGAGTTTACTCTTGCCCATATGGAAAATGAGTCACTACCTAGACAAATGTGTCTAGGTTTTTAAATTTTTTTAGTATTATATGTAATATAACTTTTATTTTTTAAATATTATATGTTAAAATTTTATTTTTTTAATATTATATATGAATAATTTTTTTAATTATGAGTTATTTAAAGATGATGATATATAATCTATTGGTTATAATTTAGAGATCACATTTCTTAAATGACATAAGCATTCTCTTAAGTTAATTTAGCAAACACAGACTACACTGTTGTGTAGCTGCCAGGGGTGGACAGTTGGGCTGAAATCAAATGCTCCTCCATCATCTAATGAGAAGTTAGAAGGTAACACTGCTCTTCAAACAGCTGAAGATTAAGTGCATGCACATAACATCACTCATCTCTGTTCTATCAAAATAGATAATTAATAAGAAACATTATAATTAAAAGGAAGAAAAATAAGCCAATGCTTTGGTCCTCATGCTTTGAGCGACATCCTAATTTCAGCCATGACTTGGCACAGCCAGGTGTCCCCCTCTCTTTAGACCTCTTCCTACTTCCCTCCCACCCACACACCCCACTTTATGTGCTCCCATGAGGCACTAGAGCTCATTACACAGATTAAGAACACATGTACCAAAACTCAAACTCCTAATAGTTGAACTTTTTTAGGGGAGTAAGTTTATTAGTTTGACACTATCAGTACTTCAAGATCCAGCCAATTTTATTGGCCTTGAATGATCATAAAGTAGGTGTTACCTATCCAAAGCAATAAATGTAGCTGACAGCAAGATGTTCCTGTTTCCTTAAAACTACAGGTTTGATTCAACTTCTTGGGAATCTGTGGCCAATGAAGAGATGTGGCAAGCAAGGTGACTAATCTACATTTCTGTGTTTACAATCTCTTTTAAATATGGCAGAAAAGTATAATTATGGGAGTATAGTGAATGGTCGTAATAATAAAAATAACTTGCGTGAGCAGTTAGTTTGTTTGAGGCATTGTGCTAATCATTTATACATTAATATCTCATTTCATCCTCACAATAACCCAAGGAGTTATTGTTATCCCTGTTTTATACAAAAAACAAACTGGATGTAGAAGGGTTACCTGCCCCAGGCCAGGTAGTAGACATGGCTGCTAGTGACAGAACCCAGTGCTTACATTGTCTGACTCTGGGACCTCTGAACTCCCGAGCTTCCCTGCCTCCACTGAACAAAACTGAGAGTGATTGATAGAGCAGAGGCTGATAGTCCCAACCCTATCTCCACTTGTAATGAATGTGACAGGTAATTACTTAAGCACTTGTTTAATAACTATTAGAGGCCAGGCAAGATGCTAGGTGTCAAAGCAGATGTGAATACAACAGTTCCTACCCCCATGGAGCTCACAGTCTAATGGAGCAGTCTGATGTGTTAAATGAGATTTGAGCACTAATGTGATAGATGTTATGCTTTCCTGTTGTTCATAGAGGTCATACTGTCCTGTATGGAACATCTCAGAGGGATGCGACGGCTTCTTTTGGTTCCTGTCTCTTTTTAAAAGTCAAAATAACTAACACTGACAAACTCTTGCCTAAATATTAATGTAAAAGTCCTAAGTCATATATGAATGGGGGTTCCTTGTCCATGTGGAGGGCTCATTCAGGAAACACACAAGGATGCTCTATCTTAGCTAGGAACTGTGCACCAAGAATGGAGTTCTGATATAAAAGGCTTGTGTAAGTTTAAAGAGCTTTTTAAAGAGTGGTCAAAAAAGACAGCTCCCAAATAATGGTCAAAAAAATAGATGTGTTAGGGTTTATGTAATAGCATTTTTGAAAAAGTCAGAAAATGGCACATTTCATCTTATCAGTCTAGTCATAGGGACCAATACATCAGACTGCTCAGATACACCATATGTGTGCATGATTCTTCACTGTAATAGAAGGGAGAGCTTGGAGGAAATCACACAGAAGAAAGAAGATCATCATCTGGGCAGGTGTTGATTTTCTTGGTGTGCTGAATATAATTTGGACAAGTTCATGTGGCCAAAGAGTCTAGCAACCTTTGAAGAATTGGTCACACTTAGCATAAGCTGCCATGACGGCAGCTTCAGGGATATGTGACAGGCCAGCATGCCTCCCTTCTCCTGGCTACCCTTGTGTGACAGTAGTGGGTGTCTGAGGAGGAGTTGTGAGTGGTGCTGTCTAACAGTGTCAGTGAATGGTGTGGTGGCCAGTGTGGATGGAATCAATGTTTTAGTGGGGGTGGGGTGCTGTTTTACTGTAAGTGTCTGAATATGAGAGGATTAAAAATAATACAATAAGGTTTGTATATATTCCTTATCAGTAGAAAACCCTGGAAGATTTACCCCTAATTGTGAAATTGACAATATGATTTTAATGAAAGTTCCCACCCCCACTCCCAGGATGAAAACCCCATTCTTCATCTTTAACCTGGCAGAATCTGCTGATACGCCTTCATCCCTGAAAGCTCAGCTCTACCTTCGTGCATATGAAGTATGTGGTATTAACACTTTCACAGAGAAAGATGTATTGGGTTGGAGGGTGGTGGGAATTGTTTGGGATGGAGACTGGGTGTATTGCATTACAGTTTTCATTCTTTTATTTCCAGCTTAATTTGGGCATTATAAGGCAGCATATATGAAAAAAAATACTCAATTATATCACAGTGTCTAAAGTAAATGGCTGTGGTAGACAGAATAATGCCCCGGCAAGATGTCTGTGGCCTGACCCTCCAGAGCTGCGACTGTGTTCCCTTAACATGGCAGGGGGAGAAGGTATGATTAAGCTAGGCGTCTTGATATAGGAGATGAGCCTGGATTATCCAGGTGAGCCTCACATGATCATGAGGGTCCTCATGACAGGGAGGGAGGGGGTGAGAGAGAAGGAGATGTGATGCAGAGGCCAGGGTGGGAAAGGGAGTTTGAAGATGGAAGACGGGGCCTCAGAAAGGGGAAGGAAACAGATTCTTTTCTAGACTCCAGAAGGAGTACAGTCATGCTGACTTTACAACTTCTCATCTCCAGAAGTACAAGATAATAAATTTATGTTGTTTTAAGCCACTGTGTTTGTGGTCACTTGTTAACAGCAGCAATAGGAAACTAACATAACAGCTTCATAAAACACAACCATGACCCTGGCCATACATGGAATAGCAGGGCCATGGCTGGCTGAGTTGGGGTGACAGAGATGAAGGGGCACGGAGACTGGCTCTGTCTTCTAACTGTGGCCCCCAGAGCCACATGAACCTTCAGAGACACAGCCACACTGAGGCTCCCGGACAAATTGGTGTTCTCTGGTGGAGCCAGAGCGCAGAGGAGAGGCTTGCCACGGCGCTCACTGCTCTACGCGGCTTTATGCAGCTCTGCCTCTCCATGGTGCACAGCGCCAGGCTCACCAGGCTCCTGCAGACTCTGCTGGGCAGGAAACAGATGTGCCAAGGGCCGGCCTGTCTGAGCAGCTGAGCTGTTTCTGCTCTCTCTAGATGGCTGGGCATCCACTCAGCTGGGGCGTTCGTTTGGAGCTAAGTCAAAATAGCTTGTGTCCGATCATTATGAGTAATAGTTCTCCTAGGTTTGGGGGTTTTTTGTTTATTTGTTTCTTGTGTTTTGTTTTTGAGACAGAATCTTAGTATGTTGCCCTCAGTAGAGTGCTATAGCATCACCGTTCACAGCAACCTTAAACTCTTGGGCTTAAGCAATTCTCTTGCCTCAGCCTCCCAAGTAGCTGGGACTACAGGTGCCCACCACTATACTCAGCTACTTTTTGTTGTTGTTGTAGTTGACATTGTCGTTTTAGCAGGCCTAGGCTGGATTCAAACCCACCAGCCCTGATATATGTGGCTGGTGGCCTAACAACTGAGCTACGGGCACTGAGCCGACCTACCACATTTTTGATAACAGGAATAAGACTTGATTGCCTCCAACTCAATATTTGGCTTGGTCAGATACTCAGTAAATGCCCTGTGAGGCAATTAATCAATGAATAAACAAGCAGTGATCAAAACCTAGGAGATGGCTGGGCACCTCACAGCTCAGTGGGTTAGGGCGCTGGCCATGCACACCAGGGCTGGTGGGTTTGAACCAGGTCCAGGCCTGCTAAAACAACAATGACAATTACAACAACAACTAAAAAAATAGCCAGGCATTGTGGTGGGTGCCTGTAATCCCAGCTACTTGGGAGGCTGAGGCAAGAGAATTGCTTAAGCCCAAGAGTTTAAAGTTGCTGTGAGCTGTGACGCTATAGCACTCTACCGAGGGCAACGTACTAAGATTCTGTCTTAAAAACAAAACACAAGAAACAAATAAACAAAAAACCCCCAAACCTAGGAGAACTATTACTCATAATGATCGGACACAAGCTATTTTGACTTAGCTCCAAACGAACGCCCCAGCTGAGTGGATGCCCAGCCATCTAGAGAGAGCAGAAACAGCTCAGCTGCTCAGACAGGCCGGCCCTTGGCACATCTGTTTCCTGCCCAGCAGAGTCTGCAGGAGCCTGGTGAGCCTGGCGCTGTGCACCATGGAGAGGCAGAGCTGCATAAAGCCGCGTAGAGCAGTGAGCGCCGTGGCAAGCCTCTCCTCTGCGCTCTGGCTCCACCAGAGAACACCAATTTGTCCGGGAGCCTCAGTGTGGCTGTGTCTCTGAAGGTTCATGTGGCTCTGGGGGCCACAGTTAGAAGACAGAGCCAGTCTCCGTGCCCCTTCATCTCTGTCACCCCAACTCAGCCAGCCATGGCCCTGCTATTCCATGTATGGCCAGGGTCATGGTTGTGTTTTATGAAGCTGTTATGTTAGTTTCCTATTGCTGCTGTTAACAAGTGACCACAAACACAGTGGCTTAAAACAACATAAATTTATTATCTTGTACTTCTGGAGATGAGAAGTTGTAAAGTCAGCATGACTGTACTCCTTCTGGAGTCTAGAAAAGAATCTGTTTCCTTCCCCTTTCTGAGGCCCCGTCTTCCATCTTCAAACTCCCTTTCCCACCCTGGCCTCTGCATCACATCTCCTTCTCTCTCACCCCCTCCCTCCCTGTCATGAGGACCCTCATGATCATGTGAGGCCCACCTGGCCAACTAGAGAACCACAGCACTCTATCTACTGAGACTGACTTATTGAGACTCTGTTGCAAAAAAAAAAAGCATCAAGTGGCTGGGCACAGTGGCTTCTGCCTATAATCCCTGCCCTCTGGGAGGCCAAGGTGGGAGGATCCCTTGAGCTCAGGAGCTTGACACCAGCCTGAGCAAGAGTGAGACCCTATCTCTAGTAAAAAAAGAAAAAACTAGCCAGATGTTGTGGGCGCTTGTCCCAGCTACACAAGAGGCTGAGGCAAGAGGATCACTTGAGCCCAAGAGTTTGAGATTACTATGAGCTTTGATACTACAACACTCTACCCAAGATGACAGACTGAGACTCTAAAAAAAATTTTAAAAGCAGGCAAGAGAGAGACAGAGATGAGAGTTCTCAGTCACAGTTCAGTCTCGTAAGTACTATGAGAAGGACACAGATGTGCTCTGGGAACACAGGACAGAAGCAAGCTGGGGAGGAGAGGCTGAGGAAGGGAGGGAAGGTGTCTAGGGAAGGTGTGACAGGGCTGTTACCTGAGAGGTTACAAGGAGCTGGCCACACAGAGGGTGGGGCCAGGAAGTGAGAGGGAGGGGCAAAGGCAGGGTCCTCCAAGGGGTCCGGCTGGAAGACAGCAAGGGACATGATCACAGGGGAACATGCTGTAGTTCTGTCGTGCAGGGAGTCCAGGGTCTACTCCCACTCTGCCATTAATCATCAACTGTGAGTCAATTCACTTTTCCAGGCTTTAAACTTCAGAAGATTTTCTCTCATATCCTAGTCATACCTATAATCCTGTTTATCTCTAATACTCTGTAATTCTATGAAAAACAAGCAATATTTAGGTGGAAGAAATCAGAGGTATACTAATAGTTCACATTCTCATTAGTGATTTCTTCTGGGGCCAGTTGTTGAGTCTCCACTGAAGCTCATCTGTGGACTCACTGTCCCTTGGGTTGCAAGCTTTATTTTTTTTAGTGAACACAGATTGTTGGCATCTCCTTTGCATGTGTCTCCAGATGTGTGGCAAGACAAATAAGGCCAGTTACTCAATGGCAGTTATTCAGTTACCCTAGTACAGGTCTTTCAAGAACATTCTCGTTCGGTGTATGGGCTGGTTTTGTTACTATTTGCATTGTCCCACTCAGTTGCTATGCAGACCATTAAGTTCAGGTGACAGTAAGTTCAGGTATAGTTAGGGAGCAGGATGAGCCAACTCCTTAGGAATAAACTGGGCAAGGTGAAGTGTTCCAGTTAATAAGATGCAGCCCACGGGTGGCTCCTGTGGCTCAGTGAGTAGGGCGCCGGCCCCATATACCGAGGGTGACGGGTTCAAACCCAGCCCTGGCCAAACTGCAGCAAAAGAATAGCTGGGTGTTGTGGTGGGCGCCTGTAGTCCCAGCTACTAAGGAGGCTGAGGCAAGAAAATCACCTAAGTCCAGGAGTTGGAGCTTACTGTGAGCTGTGTGACACCAGAGCACTCTACCTAGGGCAACAGAGTGAGATTCTGTCTCTACAAAAAATAATAATAATAATAAAAATAAGATACAACCCACAAGACGGATGTCCCAGCCGCAGACAATAAAGAAAGCTATGCGGCTTCTCAGGTGTGGCACGCACGGCTTGATGGGTCATCGAAGTAAGCCGAGGCCTCAGTAGCTGCTGTCCCAGTGCCCGAGGGTCCAGCGGTTGGAGAAATGCGTCTGCTCTGGACTCTGAACCCACTGGGTAGGACTTAGAGCTGGCAGCTCCTGGGCACCTGCTTCATGTGGGCGGGGGCATCACACACAGCCCTCATCAGAGGCAGTCTCGGGAGGAGAGACTGCTGGAGAACAAAAGATGAGGAAAAGGCAGAGAAACTTTGTTTTAACAAGAGGATAAAAGCAGGCTGACTGCACAGCTGTGAGGTTGTGACTGTGCCTGGCAACTCTTTCCTGTATTATAAAAATGAAAGTAGTAAGGGGAAAGAAAGTTGCTTCAAAAGGCAGCCCGAAGACGAGGGTTACTTCATACCGAAATGGCATCTCAAACATGGATTGTTTTCACGAGGATGTTTTAAGATAGGTATGCATTTGTCTGCCTGGAGTAGAGTTGGAGGATGATACAACCAGGTCCCTTTCATCAAGATGATGTCGTGAACAAAGTTGTAATGCTGCAGGGCCTTGTCCCTGGGGAGGGTGTGGCTGCCTGCCTGTGCTCTCAGAGATTTCCCAGGAAGGCTGTGAAATTCCCAAATAAGCAAGTATAATGTTTCATTATACAGATTTATGTCCGCTTCTTTATTTGTTAAATTTTGATGTGTTTCCTCTGGAAAACTCAGTATCAAAAATTCTAACTCCACCCATTTAATACCATCACTGATGCTGAAAGACAAAATTCTAAATTTTTCAGGAAAAGTTTTAAGTATTAAAATTAAAAATAGTAGGATGCTGTGGAGATTTTAATGTCTCACTTTAAGATACCTTAAATTGGCTGGGTGCAGTAGCTCATGCCTATAATCCTAGCACTTGGGAGACCGGGGCAGGTAGACTGCCTGAGCTCTCATGGGTTTGAGACCAGCCTGAGCCAGAGTGAGACCCTGTCTCTAAAAATAAAATAGCCAGGTGTGGCAAGCACTTGTAGTCCCAGATACTTGGGAGGCTGAGGCAAGATAATCACTTGAGCCCAGAGTTCGAGGTTGCTATGAGCTATGATGCCACAGCACTCTACCAAGGGTGACAGAGTAAGAACTGTCTCCAAAAAAAAAAAAGATACTTTAAATTGTATCATGCCCAGCCTACCCCGTGACGCACGTGGTTGGACTATCTTACGGTTTGCTCTTGTGGTGGTGGTGTTTTAATGTAGAAAGAATACTGTGGGACAAAACATCAATTCCTTCAAGTTCTTTTTCAGACTTCTAATGAAAGCTGTTTTTTCTCCAACAGCTAAATTTAGAGTTTCAGTCTTTCTGCCTGTTAAGTAAATAGCTTTCCATGAATTAGAACTAAATCCCTTTCCCAGAACATCTTTCTGGAGGAAGAGCATTTTGTCTGACATGGTGTGTCTTTGGTTTGCCCTGTGACATCCAAAAACCTGAGGAGTGGTTTTAGATGAAGCATATTTGCCTCCTGCTACTGTAATAATTACAGTCACATCCTTGTATTTTCTGCATGGCCTAGCAATGATTAGATTTTTACTGTTGGCTGCTTGGGTTTCTTTTATTAGTATTAATTCCTCTGTTTTTGAAAAATGTTTTCTGTTTTTGAAAAAAAGTGAAGGGATAACAATGGAATACCAACATTGTTGCTGTCTTCCAGCTTTATAAGGAGATTGTGTATTCACAAAAGGAGCACCCAGTGAATTGGCACAAGAACTATGCCATCGCCTGTGAGCGGGTGCTGCGTCTGCAAGAAGGAGCTGTGGACCCTGAAGTCCTGTTATCCGAAACCATCAGACATTTCCGTCTCTATGCTCAGAAAGCGCGGAACGATCCACAGCATGCTGACATTTTAGTTGCTCTAAAGCACCTGAGAAAAGAACTGCAAAGTCTAAGAAATATGAAAAATGTCTGAGACAGCAAAATATGAAAAACCTGTTTATCATTCAGCTTCCAAAATTCTGAAGTTCAAAAGCTTTTCCTTCAAGAAAAGAACTACGGCTCGGCGCCTGTGGCTCAAGCGGCTAAGACGCCAGCCGCATACACCTAAGGTGGCGGGTTCGAATCCCCAGCCCGGGCCCGCCAAACAATGATGGCTGTAACCAAAAAATGGCCGGGCGTTGTGGCGGGCGCCTGTAGTCCCAGCTACTTGGGAGGCTGAGGCAGGAGACTTGCTTGAGCCCAAGAGTTGGAGGTTGCTATGAGCGTGATGCCATGGCACTCTACCCAGGGGGATAGCTTGAGGCTCCGTCTCAAAAAAAAAAAGAAAAGAACTACAAAAAGTTTAAAGCCAAATCACCTGTCAGATACAAGTGGCGCAGTGCAGTGGCACTGCTTGCTCCACTCCTGCAGAGTTCTGCTTGCCCCTCACCAAGCACATTTCCGTGAGGACCTGCGAGGAGCCTTCCTGCGTCACAGTCTCCTCCAGATGACAGTGCTTGATGCATTCAGGAAGAGAATGGATTATGTTGATGTAATGAAAAATCAGTCATGAGTCTTTTAAGGGCCATGCTTATTGAGATCAATTTTAAAGGTTAAATTCTTTTAATTTTGATACCAGACTAAAGACATTCTGTTTTCTAAAAGCAAAATCTCTTTTAAAAGGAATAAATCTACTTACGTTTCTAGTTAGGGTACCATTTTTTTTCAAGCAACTATACATGTTAACATAATCTCACACTTCAAGCTAAACACCAAGTGAGTGATATTTTGCAAAGAGTTTGGGTTTCATTGTCAGTAGTTCTCAACCTGTGGGTTCCGACCCCTTTGGACTGTATTAAAGGTTCACAGCATTAGGAAGGTTGAGAACCACTGTCCTGGATAGTTTGCTGGAATAGATAATTTGATGTTTGTTCATTTCAGCTACAAGAACTGATTGGCAAGTAGAAAGAATTTTCGTTATTTACTTAATTATTTTTACATTTATGTTTTACTGCTATTTGAACTCAGAGATCTAGGCCCAATAATTAGAAGGCTCCTGCTGCCAAAATGCAAAGAAAAAAAAAGGTGAGGAGTAGGGGGGATGGGGAAGTGATTCACTAAATTCATTTCTGTTACAAGCATCTTTCATACATATTACTATAGAGAACATAGCAAGAAATGCAAATAATAGTTCTTTATTTTATTATGACAGTTAATTAATAGCAACCTGTTTTAATGAATAAAGTCACTCAGAGTCCTTCAGCACTTCCTAAGTAGAGGCCAGCCTCTGTAGGGCTTCTTGTACCCCCAATTGTATAGCTCCTAGACTCCAAGCTATCTGGGCCCCTGTATAGAAATGCTCACTAATGAAGAGGGAGGGCTGGAAGCTTGTCCGCATTCAAAGATCACTGGTGAGCCATTCATCGAGGAAAGGCCCCTTACCAGGAGTGCTCGCAGTTCTGTGGCATTGTACTAGCAAAAGGGTCTGATCAAAGGTCTCCTGCCGAGCTTGCCTGGTTCCCTTTCATACTACGACCATAATTAAAACCACTAATTCTCTTTTAAAATGCTGCAGGATGCCATGTAGGCATCTGTCTGGAGTGTCCTTTGTGATGTCATAAGCTGTTAAGGACCAGTGCGGAGGGCTTTTGAGTGAAATGCCAGTCATGAAGGTGCTTTAAGACAAGGGTGCCTCTAAAAGCTTGACAGGGCCCTGACTGCACAATTCGAGCTGAATTTGCCCCTTGTCAGCTGGCAGTAAATAAATCTCAAAGGGGGAAAAGCTGAAGTTTCATTACCTGATCCGTGGGGCTTTGTTGGTTTTGGCATCACACAGGGGAAGCCCTTGCCCCTCCATTCTCTGGGTTTGAAGATGTCCATTGGAGCCTGCAGTGCCTGGATAGGGTTCAGAGCGGGACCTTTTGAAGAGTGTCAATAGTTGTAACAGTTCAGCTGTTAGGAAGACAAATAAACGGAGGAGCTCATTAATCCGCTTTTGGCTCTCCGTGCCTTTTGCCCTTTTATCACAGCCTTATTAGGCTCCTGCTCATCTTGAACCAGAAAAAAATGAATTGAAGTTGTTGAGCGCTAATTGGCAAAGACTTTTAATCATGGGCCAAGGACTTTCACTGACTTGAAAGTAACTTCTCCACAGGGAAGGACCAAAAACCTACTTTACCTTAAAACAAAAACCTGTTAAAGAGTTCAGCATGGTGTAAAAATTTAAGGAAGCGTCAATAAGTTGTTTAAGTTTATCCATTTGAAAGAAATGGTATTAAGATTATGATTTTTACTTTCCTAAAAAAAAGCACAATAAAATTCAAACATTCCTTAGAAATGCATTGTCCGTCTTGGTTCAGAGATCACGCGCAGGTATGAGGTGATGGTGTTTGTTTCTGGATATCTGTCCTAGGCGTATGAATATTCATCTCAGCATCTGCATATGTGTGTGGTATCTGAGGAAGCTTCTTACTAGTTGCCCTGAGAGTAGCAGATGAAGTCCTCTTTTTGAGAATATTGGGGGTTTTTTTTTTTTTGCAGATTTTGGCCGGGGCTGGGTTTGAACCCACCACCTCTGCCATATGGGGCCAGCGCCCTACTCCTTTGAGCCACAGGCGCCACCCCTAGGATATTGGGTTTTTTTAATTTGTGTCTCTGGAACTACATATGTGGCTGATATCCATCATATATTGATTATTATCAAATGGCACCTAATGATTCTGCATTTATGCAACAATGGCTTTGGGCCACTCTCTCTTTGAAAAAGCAATGATATGATGGCCCAAAGTAGATAGCATGGTAATGATTTAAATTTCTAAAATTTGTTTGTAATTGAAAAACTAGTAAACTAAGCTGAGATGTAGGGATGTTGGGCTGGATTCCCAGATCAACCTCTTTGGAGAATACTTTCCTTTCTAGTGTGTGAGATTAAACAAGTTACTTTCTTTTTCATTCTTTTGCTTTTCTTGACAAGTGCACACACACCATAAAGTCTGATGAAAGGGGTTTCCTATAGTCTGACCCCTGACATTGATGAGAATGTGAGGGAGGTGACTTCTCATGCAGGATCTGGCCAGCGTTCTCCTAGCAGTGTCCCAGGAGTGCTTGGCCTAAGGAGCAAGTGGGAGCCAGCAAAATGGTCCGTCTCCCACCTGCTGCAACGCCCTGCTGCCTGGCACTGAGACTGGCACACAGCAAGGCAAGTAGAGAAGGGGTCATGGGTGTGTGTTGCCTGATGAGCCACTGAGCTCGCCCCAGCCCTGCCCCTCTGCTGCAGGCCTGCTTGTTTCTGGGTATTGACATTCTCTTTTGTGTTGTTTTTACAAAGGACCCTTGTTGGGGGGAGGGGGGATCTGAATAAAGTCAATAGTTTAAACTTTAAAAAATTTTTGCTTTTCAGCTGGGTACCCATAGCACAGTGGTTAAGGCACCAGCCACATACACTAAGGCTGGCGGGTTCAAACTTGGCCCTGGCCAGCTAAATAACTGCAACAAAAATTAAAATAGCCGGGTGTTGTGGCAAGTGCCTATAGTCCCAGCTACTTGGGAGGCTGAGGCAAGAGAATCCCTTAAGCCCAAGAGTTTGAGGTTGCTGTGAGCTGTGACACCACGACAGTTTACTGAGGGCAACATAGTGAGACTCTGTCTCAAAAAAATATATATTTTTTTGCTTTTTGTCTATAACTCAAAATACAGCCAAAATAGGAGGCACTTAGTTACTAGTATGCTATTTTGAAAGTTTTGGGTAGAAGTTGTGCAGTCCTTAATCTTATTTCCCAGCAGTGTTCCTCAGAATTTTAAAATGTTAATGATTTCAATATTCAGGGGGAAACAGTTACAGCAAAGGTTAAAAAGTAAAAATGAATCCTTTGACTGCAAATTCTTTTACTGTGTTTTACTTCTGTTATATTTTATAAATGTGCCGACATAGGACACTATTTAAAATTCTGTTCTAACTGGCTCTGAGTTAGGTAGTTAGGTAACGAGAACAATTCCCACCCAGTAAGAGGGTCCCACTTCTTTGCTCCTCCTCAGATGGTGTTGTGGATGTGAAACCCTCTAAAGCTGAGATAAACACATGCGTAATGTTTCCGGGGATTGTGGGCACATCTAAAGGCCATGCTCCTGGCATAGCATAACAGCAAACGGGGTGAAGGCCTTGGTGGTGATCGTGTTCAATGAAGACGTCACTGTCAGTGCCTTCTGCAGGGCTGTTTGGTTTGGATCAGCATGGATGGTGTCAGTGAAAAGCTCTGAACACTACAGGACACTTACCTGGATGTGGGAAAGCAAATGAGCAGGAATACACCCTGAAAACAGGGTTTTTCAGGGAAATAAATCCCAACTGTTCTTTGGTAATGTAATATATATTTCACTGAAATTCTGTGCACGAGAAGGTTTGAGAACATGTATTGAGAAACAGATGAGTTGGAGGTGGCGGAAGGGCAGGGAAGGAAAGGATAGGGTTCCACACTGCCCTTGCGAAGCTGCGGTATGACCTGAAGGCGGGGTTCTCTGGCTTGTTTCTGCAAATCAGAGTATTGTGGCAGAGGGCTAATGTTTGGTAATGTAAGCATTGTGGTAATACTAAAAAATGGATATGGTTGAAAACATTTCAAGACAAAGGTCAAAAAGACAAAGACAGATTGGTGAGCCACACTCTGTCCAGCTTCACAGAGCAACCGGCTAGTTTCAGGCCTTCTGGACCATAGTCCCCATGAGGTAAGGACAATGTTAAATTAAGTTGTAATAAAAGATAAATAGAAATAAGCCACATCTATGGTTAAATATCTTTATAAATTTAATTGTTTAGAATTTGTTATAATTCTGGTATAAGTTGCATGGGGGGATGTTAAAAAATGGAAATAGCATAACCTTTGCCTTGTTCCCATTCAGCTCCCAGAAATACAGGCCACCAGAGATGGTGGTTCTTTTGGGTATAGCCACTGTGTTTAAAATGCTGCATGTCCAGAAGGTAGAGAACTCTTTGAAGACTTATTAGTTTTTGATTAAATGTCATACATAGTTATACAGGGTGTCCATAAATTGCACACAAACTTTATGGGCACCCTGTATGTAGTGTATGTTGGTTATGAGTTTATGTATTATATATTATAAACTAATAAATGGAGATTGTGTTTTTAAAATAACAAGCATAATTATCTTCT